CAGTAAATACCAAGGTGCCTATATTTTTTTTTTCAAATTAGTCTTTTTGTTTTCTTTGGGTAAATTTACTGGGTAAATACCCAGCAGTGGAATTACTAGGTCATTTGGTATTTCTATTTTTAACTTTTTGAGGAACATCTGTATAGTTTTCCACAGTGTTTACACCATTTTACATTCCCACCAGCAATGCACGGAATACTGATTCAATTCTTTACTCATTATTGGTTTGTTCATACTTGCTATTTTGTCCTGGTTCAGTCTTGGTAGGTTGAATGATTCTAGGAAATTATCCATTTCTTCTAGGTTATGTAATCTGTTGGGTATAATTGTTCATAGTAGTCTCTTATAATCCTATGTATTTCTGTAGTGTCACTTATTTCTCCTTTTTCATCTCTAATTTTATTTGTTTGAGTCATCTCTCTTTTTTCTCAATATTGCTAAAATATTGTCAATTTTGTTTATCTTTTTGAAAATCTCACTTTTATTTTCATTGATCTTTTTTTTCTCATCTGTATTTCATTTATTTCCGCTCTAATCTTTATTTTCTCTTTCCCTTAAATTTGGGTTTAATTTGCTTTTTTTCCCCTAACTCCTTTAAACATAAAGTTAGATTATTTGTCATCTTGCTTATTCCTAATATATATACTTACCACTATTAACTTCCCTTTCAGAACTGCTTTTGTGCCATCCTATAGGTTTTGGTAAGTTATGTTTCTGTTTTCATTTGTTTCTAAGTATTTCTTGATTTTCATTTTGATTTCTTTTTTAATCTGTTGGTTGTTGAGGAGTGTGTTGTTTAGTGTCCACATATTTGCAGATTTTCCAGCATTCCTCATTTTGATTTCTAGTTTTGAACCGTTATGGTAAAAAAAAAAAAGGTATGATTTCAATCTTTTATACATTTGCTAAGATTTGTTCTGTCTTATCATATGATCTATCCCTGACAGTGCTCTTTGTGCACTTGAAAATGTGTATTCTGCTTTTTTTAGGTGGAATATTCTATACATGTCTGTTAGGTCAATTTGGTATAATGTATGTTTCAAGTCGATTATTTCCTTGTTGATTTTCTGTCTATATTATTTTATCCATTATTGAAAGTGAAATGTTGAATTACCCTACTGTTATTGTATTATTGTTTATTTCTTATTTTAGATCTGCTAGCATTTGCTTAATATATTTAGGTACGTCAATGTTGGGTGTGTATATACGATGGCCATATTTTTCTGATGCATTGATCTTTTTATCATTATACAATGATTTTCCTTATCTCTTGTTACTTCTTTGGCTTAAAGTCTATTTTGTCTGATTAGCTACCGTTACTTTCTTTTGGTTTCCACTTTTATAGCATATCTATTTCCATCCCTTCACTTTGAGTTTATATGAGCCCTTAAATCTGAAATTGGCCCTTTTTAGGCAGCATACAGTTGATTTTTTTAAATCTACCCAACCATTGTGTACCTTTTGATTGGTAAGTTCAATGCCTTTATATTTAGGATAATTTTTGATATATAGAACTTACTAGTGCCATCTTACTTTTGGTTGTTTTGTATTTCCATTGTTTCTTTTTCCTTTTATCTCTGTGTATTTTTGTAAATTGGTTAATTTCCACAGTGTTGTTTCCCCTTTCTTTGTCTTTGTGGATCTACTCTAGGTTTCTGCTTTGTGGTTGCTTATTACATTATTTAAAATGTCCAATAGAGGGTGCCTGGGTGGTTCAGATGGTTAAGCGTCTGCCTTTGGCTCAGGTCATGATCCCAGGGTCCTGGGATCGAGTCCCACATCAAGCTCCCTGCTCCTTGGGAGCCTGCTTCTCCCTCTGCTTCTCTCTCTCTCTCCTCTTCTCTCTCATGAATAAATAAATAAATAAAAATTTAAAAAAGAAATAAAAATAAAATGTCCAATAGATAAAACAGTCCATTTTAGCTGATAGAAACTTATCTTTGAATGTCTATAAGGTCTCCACTCTTTTATTCTTTTCTTTTATATTATTGATATTACAACTTACTTCTTTTATGTTATGTATTTGTTAACAATTTATTGTAGTTATAGTTACATTAATTATTTTTTCTTTAACTTTTATACTGTAGTTGTGGTGTTAACACACCATCCTAATATAGTTACAGTTTTCTAAGTCTGACTGTCTATTTTTCACCTTTACCAGTGTGTCATGTAATTTTGTATGTTTTCTTGTCACCGATTAGTGTCTTCATTTCAGCTTGAAGAACTTTTAACATTTTTTTCAAGGCAAGTCCAGTTGTGGTGAACTCCTTCATCATTTGTTTGTCTGAGAAAACTTTTATTTCTCCTTCATATAAGAAGGATACCTTTGCAGGATAAAGTCTCTACCATACTTCTGCAGTTGAAGGCTCATCTAAGGAAAACAGAGTCAAGTTAATAGAAATTTTTATCTTAGTTGGGACCTATTCATATTGATCAAAAGGAAATTCTTATATTTGTTTAAATTTAGTGTTTGATGTTATTACTGAAAGCATCTAAAATCATTTATCTTTAACCACTTTTGATCATATACTGAATAGTTCATTTAAATAGTACTATAGTTTATTAAAATATTTAAAGATGGAATTATATAACGTACAAAGTGTACTTTAATATAATATGGAGTAAGGAGAATAGGTACAGGTATAAGAAAAGATTAGTTATGTGTTGATGTTGATGGAAGCTGAATAATGAGTACATGGGGGTTCATTATACTAATTGCTCCTCTTTTGAATATATTTGAACTTTTCCACAGTTACACACAGACTTATATGCATCTAAGTAAAAACGTTAAGCTCATGTAGTGACATAGAGCAGTACTGTGATTTCACACCATTTTTAACCCAGTATTACATATTTTACTTTTTTTAAATTTTTTCAAAGATTTTATTTTTACTTAGTTGACAGAGAGAGCATGAGAGAGCACAAGTAGAGGGAATGGCAGAGGGAGAGGGAGAAGCAGGCTCCCCACTGAGCAGGAGCCTGATGTGGGGCTTGATCCCAGGACTCTGGGATCATGACCTGAACTTTATGCAAGCATGGTGGGTGTCTTATGGTAAGGCTACTTCTTTCATGCTTTCATTACTTGAGCCCAATACTTGGACCATTAGTGTTTTAAGCTGCTTTTGTTTATGTATTTTTTCTCATTATTAGATTAGCATTTTTAAAAGTATGAATGATGCTTGTCATTGTACAAGTTATGGATATTCAATATTGCATAGAAAAGGCTGAAAAAAATCTTCTTGTTATGCCCAGAATCAAACTTTGAAGAGCAAAAGCTCTTAGGTTTGCCTCTGAACTTTGCTTCTGAAGCCCTTACAAAAAGAAAACACTGGGGTCAGGGTGATAAGTCTAATGACAGTTCCCCCCTTCCAAAGAACAGTTGTTCTATTATTCTTTGAAGAGATTCAAGAAGGCAAAGGTAAGGCATCAAATAAGAGTTATGCTTATAGAGGAATTAGCAGATGTGTAGTAAGGAGTTAGGTAAATAAAACTTAGTCAAGAAAAAATAGAAGAAGATATGGTCTTCACAAAATCAAGTAAGTGAGGAAGTTCGAATGAGGAAATGGTTAATGAAATTTAAGAAAGTTACAGTACACTACCTTGTTTCCCACACATCACATCCTCTATAATTGAGGAATAAGTAAGTAAAAAGAGCCACATTTACTTGAGAGTTTATCTCTCACTCCTTCCCCCCAACTATGTAGTGAAGGCAGTAAAGTTACTTCTGGTCTGACTCTAGGAAGGCACAGAAAAATGTGTATATGTGATTTGAGGGCATTGGAAGCATAGGTCAGATCTCATATTTATATTCCATTATTTTCTTCATGTTTACCAAAAAATTGGAGATTTCTCTTTAGAAAAGCTTTTACCACTTCTTTTTTTTTAAAAAAAGATTTTATTTATTTATTTGACAGAGAGAGAGAGACAGCAAGAGAGGGAACACAAGCAAGGGAAGTGGGAGAGGGAGAAGAAGGCTTCCCACTGAACAGGGAGCCCGATGCAGGGCTGGATCCCAGGACCCTGGGATCACGACCTGAGCTGAAGGCAAATGCTTAATCACTGAGCCACCCAGGTGCCCCACTTTTACTACTTCCTAGGAAATTATTTCTGCAGTAGCCAAAATGTGTAATTCTTTTTTTTCTTTTCCTTTTTCCTTTATTTTATTTTTTTTTATTTTTAAGGTTTATTTTTTTTTAATTCTAGTTAGTGTAATATTGGTTTCAAGAGTGGAACTTAGTGATTCATCACTTATATAACACCCCATGTTCATCACAAGTTCCTTCTTTAGTACCCATCACTCATTTAGCCCGTCCCCTGCCCTTCTACCCTCCAGAAACCCTCAGTTTGTTCAAAATGTGTAATTCTTAACAACTTGGTTATTACAGAAGATATCCGGGCCTCACCAAAGCACTAAGGATATAGGCAAGATAAAGAGGGAGTTGCTAAAGTGGAAGAAAGAGAACTGAGATGAGAAGAGGGCCAGAGACAATTGTACTGTTTTTGCATTTTTTCGTTTGTTTGTTTTTAGATCTGTTTTTGGAAGAGTAGATGGGGACAATGGAAAATTGTGGGGGTTTTTTCCTGGCAAACTACAAAACAAATCAGACTATCAGGTCTTAACAACCCTTAAGACTAAAGAGAAAACATTCCCTCTGTCATTTCTTCTTCTTTTCTGCCCATAAACTATATTCTAGAAAATATAGGATATTGTCATTCAAATAAACTTGGTCAACAAGTGAGTGTGAGGAATAATCTTAGTAGGGTGTGGATAGTAAAGAGTTTATCTGTGGGAGAAGTGGATGGCAGAGGGTGGAGTAAGAGGGGGGAAGTTCTTCATCTTTCTATTTGAGAATAGAATGCACCTCTCCAGGGAGAGAAAGGGAGAGTGAAGCCTCATGGGACTTATCTATGTGTGTGAGAATACTGAAAAAAATACTCAAGTGTATCATTTTCTGAAAAAGTCACTAATTATACCTTGATTTCAGGAAACAGAAAATATGTAATTACAGAGACCATCTTTATTATTAAAATACAAATTATAAGTTACAGATGTAAATAAATTCCAAGTGTAACATTTTCACAGTGTCTTGGAAGTAAAAACAGAAAGATGATATAAAAATGAAGTTACGCAAAAGTTCCACTTATGTACTCTTTCAGATCAAGGTAGCTTGATCTGTTGTTTCTAGGGCAGATGGTTCCTTTTGTATGGAATTAAGGGTTAATAGAATTAGCTGCTTACCTGAATGACACTGAAAACATAAAAACCATTTGAATATAATAATAATAATAACAATAACAATAATGACAATAATAATAACATGGAAATCACCCCATATTAATAATCTCTGTTTTTGGAAAATTATGTGTATGTTTTGGAATCAGAACTCAAAAAAACTTTATATAGGAAATGTGAGTTTATTTATCTTGAATTGTATATTACTATAGTTGAGGGTGCTTATTTTTTGCACTTTGATTTCATTGAACCCGGAGAGTGATAAATGGGAGATTCAAAAAGAAGATTTTCCAAGGAAAAGAGAAACTCAAGAGAGGACACTGCTGTCCAGAGGGCAGCTATAGTAGCACATCCCTCCTACTCCTAAAAGCAATGCTTTTCTTCTGGAAATAAAGTCCAGAGTTGGAAGGGGAAAAATCAAAAAGAAAAAGGAAACAAGCAGAGATGTGAGAAACTGAAATATTGTGATTAGATAGATAGATGATCAATATATAGATAGTGGATATATTTCTTAGAATTATGGTAAGCAAAGTAGGCGATCACTTACTATATACAATTTGAAAGACACTGCTGTAAAATCCACTTTCTTAAAAAAATCTTCCCCTCCAGTTTTCTTCAGTGTCTTTCATCCTTCCATTAAAGGTAAGGTATTAACACTTTGAATTATGGTTTATCCCTAAAACTTGAATTCAGATAACCCTGGGCAAGTCACTAGCACCTTAGTATGAATAAATTGATCAGATTACTGACTAGAAGAACAAGCGAATAGGACAGAAGGAAAAACATATCGATAGGGAAGAGGGGTAAATGAAGTAAATTACAACACTTAATACAAACCTATGGGCAGACCTGGGGAGAAGTGATGGTCTTAGCTACACAGCATAACAATACAGGACACTTGTCCTTCCTCCAGTGATGTAAATGATCTGCAAGGCCTTCTGGACCACATAATAAATGGGCTCTAACCCCCTCAAACATTCCTCTAGGAAAGTCATTAATGTCCTAGAAATATTTCCTCTCCTTTTTAGAAAAAAATAGATATGTTTAAAGTAACATTAATATGTTAATAAAATTAAATCTCTGGTATCCCAAAATGACCCTAAAAAGTGTAATCCATGCTAATCTAAAAAATAGTAAACAAATATAGTATAGACAAATATAAGTACCCACAAAATTATTACTTGTGATCCCATTACAGTGCTAAATTATATTCAAACACAAATCACTTTAAAGCAAACAGACCAGACATAGTTACAGTTATTCTTTTTAAAACACAATTTAACACTCATTTAGAACTCATATAACACATCAAAATACATAACTTACAATGAATAATGAGATAAACACTATTGTTAGCAGCACAAAGTCCGTTTTCTAATAGGGTGTTATTTTAATAACAAAGTACAAGCAAAATCAATACTTGTCTAGAGAAAACATTAGAAAATTTTCCATTCCTCTTAGATATTAGAATTAATTTTGATTTACCAGTTTCCCCCAATCATTTAGTATCATAACTGTGTGCCTAAAACAATTCCTTTCCTATAAAAATATGATGGAGCCCTTGGTTGATTTCTACATTCCTTCCAGATGAGAAGTAGCATGTGTCTTTATTATATAGCACACAGATTTTTTAGTAGACCATCGTTTTAAATTAGAGCTTTTTGCTAAAACATGTTTCAAAGTACCATAATATTTTAGACCTCTGATTTAATTATGACTCATATCTTGGGTCTGCTACCTGAATACTAGTACCAAACAGGTAACAGGCAAATAACTGTAAGGGGAGTCCAATGCTACCAAAATTAATCTTTTGCAGTTTTTTTTTTCCCAAAAAGGTGAAAGAATCTCCTTCCTTAGTTGCTGGGAGGTAGGCTGTGCAGGATTCACAATGATATGACTGAGGCGAAGCTGGACCAGAAAAATTTCTGAAGACTCTACGGTCCACATGCCTGGCTGCCTTCAGTTCATGAAGGCGGCTTGACAGTCGCCTCTTAAATTAAGAAATACAACGTGGTGAAGCTTTTAAGAGGTGTACCTATCCATTTATTTTTTTTTGTTCTGGCCTCAGCTTAGTAATTAATTAGTGCACTACATCTTTCATAGGCTCAAAAAGTGCAGTAACCTGTCAGAGATACTCAGTGTTACTTTAGAAGCATGGTGGAAACTCCCTCTATTAGGTAAGTCCATACATTTCAATAGGAATTCTTTAGAAATAGTTTAAGAGAACCGGAACTGTGATTGTCACTTATCTGCTGTCTTCTGGACCTATAGAGGCAATTTAGGTCACATTGTACGTACTTTGGAGAGCTATCTGACCTGGGTGGATTCAATATGACATCTTATATAATCATAGAGGTTACTGTATGTGAATTTGTTTCTTGTTCTTACTTTAAACATACCAGAGGCCTGAGTTCAGATTTTCATTTTATAAATAAGTGTGACAGATGATGTTTCATATTGACATTTAAATGAAGAAAACAGTTATTTGAGTCTTCAAACCCTAAAGTATAATCACACATGTGAGATGAAAATGGTCCCATGTTTATCCCACTTTGTTTTCACAGAATAATATATTGTCCATCTTAGTTAAAATACACTCAAAATATGGTATTTGAATATAAACTGTGATTACTAGTATGGATAGACAACTACATTGCCTCTAAATACAGAGTCTCAGTGTCCATTGCAGCAAAACTAAGTGCTTATGATGAGCCCAAGCTAATAGTCTCTGTGTCTTAGGTTCACATAAAACTGATGACTCTAATTGAGTGCATATATATAGAATGTCACTGAAGTTTTACAGTTTAAATCCTGACTTAATAACAAATTATTACATGGACAGGTCAACAACAGTGATGGTGGAATACAATGCTTTAAACAGGTTCTGTTATAAAGATGCAAATTCCTCATGTAGGTAAGATAGAGTTAAATGAAAAGCTGTGAGTGCTTCCTGTAATTACTTTCCAGTGGCTTGCATTTTCAGACCACATTCAGGTTTTGTTTTAATTTAGCATAATTCAGTTTTCAGAGTAGAAGTGGTATGGTTGCTTACAAAGGATTTTGCATGGAGTTGGATGCTATCTTGTCTTGAAAGTCGTCTTCTGAACTCATTAGTGGTGAAGTAGTATATGACTGGGTCAAGACAGGAATTCAGACTAGCAAGACAGAGGGCAACAGAATGAAATATTAGAATCACCCTTCTGGCTAAGCAGCTTTGAATTTTGTTGGACTTGACCAGGAAATCTAAAGGAAAACTGAAGTGATAAGGTGCAAAGCAAATTAGGAATACGCCTGCACAGGTTAGAATCATCTTCAAGGCTTTTTTTTTCTCCCCAAGATCCTGGGCCACAGGATATTTATCATGCAGTGATAAAACTGTCTTCCAGGTACAATACAGGACAATCAGAAGAGGAGTGACAAACCCAATCAACTCGCCAATGGTCATCATTGCAACAGAGTGGGCCAGATTGACATTCCTGGTAGGAAGATCCACAAAGCATTTGGTTCTGTTGCCTGAAGTGTCGTCACTGGTTCTGAGGAGAGGAAAGAGCAGACAGGCAAGGCAGATGATCAACCAGCCAGCAATGCTGATGTATAGGTCATATTTCTGTTTGCAGTCATGGAAGCGAAAGGGGTACATGAGAAACCAAAATCGTCGCACACTTATGCAGACCAAGAAGTAGATGCTTGCATACATGTTGACATACTTCAGGTAGAAACAGAACATGCAGAGGCCAGGCCCAAATGGCCAGTCATAATTCAAGTAGTAAAAGATCCTCAGTGGCAGGGAGAGAACTTGTAGTAAGTCAGCAATGGCTAAGTTTATCATGAATATCACAGCCCGTTTGGTTTCTTTCATATAGCCATAAAATACCCATAAAGCTAATATGTTTCCTATGAGACCTGGTACAAGAATTACAGTATATGTCACTGCATAGATAAAATATCGAAAATCTGTCTTATATCCATCTGGCCCAGCACATGTATCATTAGCAGGCATATTTCCTTCCAGAGCAACTGTCTTCGCCAAATGGTGGTTCAAAATATAAATTCACAATTAACTGTCACTCTTTCTAAAAGACCTAATATCAGTGGATTGGAGAGAGTGAGTATAAAATAAACTCCTTTTTATTGCATTGGTCTGAGCCTCTACACATAATTTTGGGGCTTTTCAAAGAACTATTTGCATATTCACCTTGGATTTTTTTTTTACAGTAATTACACTGAACTCTAGTGTACAAGCACAGATAACAAGCTGTTATAATTTTTCCCTTTTGTTACTGTTATAAGGCCTTCTGGGACATCATGACAGTTGATTCTCTCCCATTTGAATCATGAATGTGCCACATAGCAGCTCTTCAAATTTCCATATGATGATAGCCATCTCTTTACAGGTGTTTGACAGGCTGTTTTTTCTTATGATTGCCTCACATAGAAGAAAGGTTTGCTTTAGTACTCAGTGAGTCCGCAGTTCTTCAGAGGTGCTTAACTTGGATAGATCAGCTTTCTGAGACTTTTTCATTTATGTGTTGAAAGCTAAAAAGTGGGAAACAAAGGCAGAGCTGCAAGTGAAAAAACAAATAATTGAATTATTGTCTCACACTTCTTGCAAGAAAACAAAAAGTCCATGTATACAAAAATCTGTTCATTTGAAGGAAAATTCTGATGTAAGTAAAGGGGACAAGTCAATTTCTATAAGTTACTTTAGAATCACAGGAAAGTATAGCTAGAAGTAACCTGAAAGGTAATATAGTCTGACTATGAACCAACTTTATTTGACAGCTTGTTAGAAATGCCAAGACACTCAGGCCCCACTTAGGACCTGCTGAATCACTCTGTAGTTTAACAAGAGCCACAGGTGATTTTTATGATTATTAATATTTGAAAGGTTCTGATTTAAACCACTGATTCACAAACCACATTTCAGACTCATTAGATGGAATTAAAAAAAATTCAGCTTTCTATAAGTTTCCTGGTGTCTCCTCCAGAGATTCTGATTCAGTATATAAGGCTTCAAATTCATATTTTTAAAAATTTCCCACATGATTCAGATATAGTTGACTGAGCATTTTTCCTTGAACCATCTATAGGGGCCACTGACTTGGTCAAAATCCTTCTCAGATGTCTGAAAATAAATGGGTAACAAACCTCTCTTTAAATACTTCATTTACATGGGTCATTTAGTCGCCTTTCAATTATCCAAGATAACAGACCATAGTACCAGTAGAGAGAATCAAAATCCCAAGATAGTTGACTCAGCTGGATCCATGACCTTTGTTCTGAGCTAAACAAATTTTAGCTTAGGGACTTGGAGAGTTGCCTTAAGGCTGCTGAAATTTGGGAGGATTTAATCAACTTTAAAGATATGTGGGAAGAACAAAAATGAAATAGGAATTATTAAACATTCTGCTTTATATTATCAAATATATGGGCTTTAAAGTGTGCTTGATTCAGCCCCTGAAGGAATTGTTTTGTTATTATTTTGCCTCAATTGCTTGGTAAGAAAAATAGCATGTTTTGTTCAAAGATATGGTGTTCATTTTAACTAAAAGTCCTGATGAATGATATGAACTGATTGAAGAGGTTAAATACTTGAGATTTTTTTAGGTAAGGACAAAGTAGAGAGATGGCATTATAAAATACAAGGAAGCACAGCTGTAAAGAATAACATCAATATTGAAAGTGATTCAAATTAAAGATTGTTTAGTTCTCAAACTGAAATACATCTTTATAATATTTGCACAGGTAGTGGTTTTGGATGACAGGCAAAATCGGGTGGCAGACCAAACAATCAAAAGCCCTGGGTTTTCAATCTCCTTTTAACTATTTATACAGAAGTCACTGTCTTCTATTGTCACTGAATAGACATTAGAAGTTTATACAAATATACATCCAGTCAACCTCTAGTGTACATCCATCTTCCCTATCATGGGCAATGACTCTTAAATCTATATTTCATTTGAGCTGTAGCTCTCTTTCCAACTATATATAAGAACTCTTCTCTTGAATGTTTCATTATCACCTCTAAATTCAACACATGAACATGAAGTTATCTTTAATATTTATTCAAAATATGTCTTATCTTGGGTGGCTCAGTCGTCATGTGTCTGCCTTCAGCTCAGGTCATGATCCCAGGGTCCTGGGACCGAGCCCCATGTCGGGCTCTCTGCTTAGCGGGGAGTCTGCTTCTCCCTCTCCCACTCCCCCTGCTTGTGTTCCCTCTCTAGCCATCTCTCTCTCTCTGTTAAATAAATAAATAAAATCTTTTTAAAAGGTCTTATCTTGTTAGATTATGTCATGTCTTTGATAAAAACATCCTAATAACTTTTCCTCTCATTTAGAGGAAGATCAAAGTTCTTTACAATGACCTACATCGTTGGGGTGCCTGAATGGTGCAGTCAGTTAAGCTTCCAACTCTTGGTTTCAGCTCAGGTCTCATCTCAAGTTTGTGAGATCAAGCCCCGTGTTGAGCTCCATGCTCAGTGCGGAATCTGCTTGGGTTTCTCACTGCCTCTGCCCTTCCCCACTTTCTCTCTCTCTCTCTCTACCTCTCCTACTCTCTCTCAAATAAATAAATAAATCTTAAAAAAAAAAAACCAATGGCCTAAATCTCTTTACATGATCTGGCCCCATTACTCCTTTGAGCTCACCTCCTGACATTCTCCCTCTTGCACTCTGCTCCAGCCACATTGCCATTCTTGCTGTTAGGGGAATGGACCAGGTACACTCCTGCCTTGAAGCCTTTGAATTGGCAGTTCCCTGTGCCTGAAATGCTTTAGCCCAGTTATTCACTTGTTTCATTCACTCATCTCCTTTACCTATCTTTACCTCAATGTTAGCTTTCATGAGGCTTCTCCTGACCTTTCTATTTAAAACTGCACCTCTCCTCCAGCATTCCCCATCTCCTTCAGTATTTTATTTTACCCATTTTCAATCATAATTAACATACTTTATGTTTTTTTACTTATTTATTTTGTTTTATATGTTTACTTATTTATTTTATTTTTATATATTTTCCCTACTAGACTGTAAAGTCCAAGGACAGGAATTCTTGTATGTATTTGCTGTATACTAGAACCAAAGACTGTGCAAGCCACAAAGTGCTCAGTATTTGTTGAATTAAATATTTCCAGTAAATAAAAAAGTATTTGACTATAAAGATAACATTCTCAAACAAAAATTATCATCTCTCAAAACCTCAAACCTGATTCTGCTCTAGACTTCCTTATTGCTATTAAGTTCATCAATATTTTCCCAGGTTGTCTCAAAGTCTTGGAGACACTGACTCTTTGCCAATTGTCCTCCACTTCCAAACAAGTTTCTGAGAGGGAGGCAGCATACTATGAGGGAAATAATGTATGTTTAGAAGTTAGAATGACCTGGGTTTAAATTCTTGCTCTTTCAGTTAATAACTCTGTGACCCTGGGTATATCACTAAACCTCTCTGAGCCCTCATTTTTTCATTGGTAAAATGAGAAAAATCATAGTAACTAACCTACAGAAACAGTGTGAGAATTAATTGAGCTACTATATGTAATATATTTAGCATAGTGTCTGGTACATAATAAACATGAATTATTATGACTGATACTATTTTCTGCAACGGCATTATTTCTCACAACGATCCCATTTTTGAAATTTGCATTGTTTTTACTCTAGTTCAGGCCTTTATTACTGAATTTATCTCCCTATCCCATATCTTGTCCTACTCTATTGTGTATAATACCATCAGATTCTTTTTTTTCTGAGATGAACTTTTTAAAGAGAATTAATGGCTCCCTATTACCCATCAAATCACAAAGTGCATAGTCTTGTAATCAATGGCTTCCTTAAATACAGTGCCTTCTACCTTTAATTTTGTCTCCCATTACTTCCCTGCCTTGATCACTACTCCAGCCAAACTGAGCTCCTTACTGTTCAAACTGACATTTTTGTTTTTTTCACAAACATCTGCATATTATGCTACTCATCCTGGAATATTGTCTTTTTGCATATCAGTCCTACCTATTTGTAAAGGCTTTTCTCAAATGTCCTTGTCTTCATGGAAACTTTTGTGATTAACTCAGCACTGTTATGCTAACCCCCTTTTCAAATCCTCATTTATATCTCTCTTAAAGTATTTAACTTTCTCTGCTTTTTAGTTAGTAATTTGTATCTGTGTCTTATTTATGCGTCTGTTCCCCTGCCTATTCCACCCTACCCAAACAAGCCCAGAAATTCCTTGAAGTCAGGGGTTTGGGCTTAAACACCTTTATATGCCCTGGAGCACCTAGAGCCATGTTTGGAATGTGATGGTTCACCCAAATATTTATTCAACATCTACCATCAACATTTGCCATACACCACTCTTGGTGGAAAAAGACACATGATCTTTGTCTTCTTGGAACTTATTTTCTAGTGAGGCAGAATGGTAATTGCCACACAATGTTAAAAAAAAAAGTGTGTTTGTAGGCGAACTACAGTGTACTCTATAAACATAAATAAAAGGAAACAACTAAAATATTAAGAACATATTTGCTTAAGTTAAGTGAAATCAAAGTAACCCTCCCAAAGTCTATAATTTTCCTGTTGGTTATTCTGTCATTGGCCACATTTAAGTTCATTTTCATATGTATATCCTAGCCTGTGACCTTGAAATGCTCCTGAATAAAATATCTCCCTTAAAATTCCTCTGGCTTCTTCTGGGAGAGCTGACCATATTTTCCCTTTGTTTAAATAACATTATTTTCTAGTAGGAAAAGTTGCTTGGGATGACTGAAAGGCTTTCCAACATGGAAAAAAAAACCTACTTAGCTGTTCTATAATGAATATAAATTTCCCATTATCTAAGAGTAATGGAGACCAAAAAAATGAAGGAGGCATTTTTTTTTCAAAGCATGCCACTATTTTATGAGATTTTCCTTTCTCAGGAAAGAATCCATATTATAACAGGCACTGAAACAGACTCCAGTTTGAATGAGATATATATTTGAAGAAACATGCCAGACTCCTTGATCAAAGTATTTTTTGCTTTCAGGAGACTATTCTTCCTTAATTTTACTTACTTCTTTTTGGGAAGAAAAAAAAGAGGAAAAAAATGAAACTAATGGCCTAAATCTGGCCTGATTCCCAGCAATCTACAGGTCAGAAACTATTTTATATGGAGTTCTCATGAGAAATTATTATATTCATTTATGAATATTTATGTTTAGCTAAACCTGAAGCTTTACTAAATTTCACTCATGATATGGTTCAAGCGTATTTTCCAAAAATATTATGTCTTTGGTTGCTTATCCAGGAAAAATGTGATTCAAATGAATACCAGTAATAACTTTTTGTGTTACTTTACTGAGACTTCCTCTTAACAAGTTACTACTATCTATGAAGATGTTAGACTTTTAACCATCAACATGTGTTTCTACATTTTAATAAAAGAAAATGAATCATTAAAAAATATTGAACCATCAAATGACCTAATTTTTAATGGAGGTCTTTAAGACATATTAGTGGCAAGTAAAGACTTTATTTTGGGATGTGGAATTCTGTCCAGCAACCATAGGTCATAGGCAACCACTTACCCAAA